GAATCAAATCTATAACATTTGAACACAAGATTGAACTTGCAAGAACTTCAAAGGGCCTTGGACCATCAATTTGAACTTGAACGAGTACTCGAATTGAACAAAACTTGAGCTCAAATCAAAAATCAAGAGGGGAACAAGGAATCCAGATAAGAATTTGCACTTGAGTCCGGCAAAAGAACTTGAATCCGTTTCTTGAATGCGTGCTATACAACATCAAGTGGGAGTTGTGAATTCGATGAACCCGAGTCTGAATGAGACTTAATCCGGACTCAAACACACAGAAGAACAAAACTCGTATCATACACGAAAAATCACAATTACAAGAACACTCGAACGGTCAAGTGACATAAAGTACGCTACAAGACTCGATGCACAAACTCCTACGGCCGCCTGTTGATTGAGTGGCGTAGCGGAGACCAATAATAGAAGGATCGCCTTCCCTACAAACAGTGCAACCCAACAACAACCACCTGAGATTGGTGAAAGGTGGATATGATTGAAGGTGACAATGACTCTCCCACGAACATCTCTAGGAGATCGTAGCAAATACCACGGGTCCCTCCAAAATGACCACAAACAACTGTGGATAACAACAGTGGGCATATCGTAAGCACATCAGGCCACTGAGGCACAAGTACAAGTCTCTCCTACGACCGATCCTACGATGTCTGCTGACATGGAAAGAAAGCAATACTGGAAAATTCAGCAATTTAAAGAATCCATCCTTCTACAAATATAATAACAGCACACAACCCACCCTGAGATTGGTGAAAGGTGGACACAATGCGATGGTCATGGGTTTCTTTAATGAAATACCTTCAGGAAGTCGTAGTGAGTACAACGTCCCTACAAATAGCTAATCAACCACCTGGATTGGTGACGTGAGCAATTGAGTAGGGCAACAATGGGTCTCCTAACGAACAGTTCCAGTTCTCGTAGTGAATACAATGGGTCCCTGCAAATACTACAATCACTCTGTGATAACAACAGCGAGAGTTCGTAAGCATCTTAGCGAGCTACTGTGGACACAAGTATTGATACCACCTACGATAAGCGATGGTCAAACATCTACAAGTACGTGATTGTGGGGCAAGCGCGTACAGACAAGACAACCCGATGTACGAAAAGGACACCCCCTGACAGAAGGAAGGAAATGTTTGAGACAAATTAGAACGCAAACTTCCCGGTGTTCCAACAATTCTCTTCTTGATTAATCAATTCAGGAAGAGACGATATTCACATCTAACAAATATCAATAATCCAGAAGAATCCCAGGTAATGAGAAAGGGGGAGTCAACATCAATATCCAACCCACCGGAATCTGCAACACATATAACAGCAGACAGAAAGGCGTCTACGATCTACAACTCAACGCCACCGGATTCTGCAACAAGACCATATACTAAGCAGACGAAAGGCTCGTACGATCTACCACTCCACGCCACCTTGATCTGCAACACAATACAAGCAACAGATAGGCGTCCTAACAGATCTAACAATCTCAACGCCACCGGATCCTGCAAACACTAATGAAGCAGCAGACAGAAAGGCGTCTACCCACGATCCACAAGCAGACGCCACCGATCCTGCAACACTGATATAAGCAGACAGAGAGCTGTCTCCAAGCAATCATATTCGCCTTTAAGGCCTCAACAAAGAAAGTTCATGAACAAAGGCAATGAAGCCTAAAGAACGAATCCTTCTATTACGGATGCAATAGGTAGTTCGACAGGTCAACTATCAAATAGACTACACGGTTGTAGTGACCGACTGTTATTATTTAAATCACATCCTTTTAGGGGCCTTCAACTGCCTAAAAATCAAGAAAATTCATGAACGAAAGGCACAAGCCACGAGAAACTGCCGATCCCCATCGATAAGTTGATGAAGTCGACAGGGTTCAATCAAATAGAAATGGACCCAGAACACCCCGATCGGGCCGTGTTGATCTGCTTATCTCACCGGAGGGGCCCAATATATTTCAAAAAATGCCCTCAAACATCTACAAAATTCTAGAATTCTTTCAAGTAACCTCAAGGTACCGAATGATATGGCTCGTTGTTGATGTGTGCATCTCAACCGGAGGGGTTCTCAAATACTTTAAATGCCACCCATACTCCAAAATCCAAATCAAATCCCAAAAATTCAAAATATTTAAAAAAATTGGAATCTATCCATCACTCTTAAAGGCAAAATCCATCCGCTTCCGAACCGTTGCCGGGTGGACAAATCAAGAAATTACTTCAGCTCATTGTACAAAGAGCACAAATGCCTAGTCGAAAATATCACATGGATCCATTCTCAAAACAATCTCCTGCAGTAATTTTGACGTGGGACGTGTCCTCTAAACCGGCCGCGGTTAGCCGCAATGGCAAACCTGCAGGAATAAACGGTTAATGACGCCCCGGGGCCTCTGAACCGAGTGGTTTGCCGCCGAAATGGCACCCACGATATACCGGTTATGGTCCAGAGCCAATACGTTCTTATTGGCATCAAAATCCTTGAGATATGAATCAATACGGCATTAGAAGATCGATAGGGCACAAAGCCCTCTGTCAGCGTAAGGTGGATTCAAATTTGTCCCCTTAGACAAAAATCCAACCCCAGGCTACAAGTCCCTTGGCTCGAAGCAACTCATGGCTGCGACAAGGATCCTTCTGTCAGTTGGGTCGACTAACCACATCTGATAAGTAACCAGGGACCGACGATGGCCCGGGACACGGAACCATGGGATCTTGATCGGCCCCATGCATCCAATCCTCCCCACCATCCGCTTTTAAGTGGCATGATGACGAAAATTTCTATTTTAAATAGTCAAACTTCTCAATCTTTCCAAATACCTAAATCCAAACTCAACTCCTCAAATTTCCAAATCCAAATCTATGCCCATGCTGCTACTATACACCTGATACTACGTATCTATGGATATAATTTATCTGATTGACGACTAGCTTGAATTGAAAGTTCTCTCTCGTGATCGGGAGGGGTAATTAACTATAGGAGCTTGCGCCTATAGGAAACCAGAACTCAGATCATAAAGTCCTCGCAAAATGAGGGCGAAATCTCTGGGTAGTGTCTTATCTACAAACCCATCTGTCTTCCAAAATTTACCTCGGAACTTATCAGTTAAAACTCCCTCGCCGAATAAAAAAGAAGAAAATCGCGCGGCGGGGAGGCCGGGGCCGAATTTTCGGAGCCCACAGAGGATTGACCCTCCAATTGAGATTTATATTCAATGCGGCCATTATGGGGTGTTGTTAAAGTTATTTATTTCCATTAGGGTTCATGGGTATTTGAAAGGTAGAGTCCACTCCAATTGAGATTTACTGTCAATGCAACTATCATTAAGGGAGAATTATAGTAATTTGAAAATATTTGTATTTTATAAGAATTTGGAGGCATTTGAAACGGTAGAATCCCCTCTGATTGAGATCAACATTCAACACAACCATCATCGAGGTAATTTGAGCACTTTTAGAGAATCCATAAAGCATCTCAAATCTTTGCATTTTAGAGCTCGACATAAAGATCATAGCACATGTGGAACATGCACCTCAATTTAGTTAAAAAGTGCACCTTGAGTTGCACCTCGCCTCGCAGATTTGAGGCGTACACCTCACCCTATTTATATTTTTTTTTATTAAAACTTATCTAAATCCTAGATTAAAACCTTGGACAAATCGCACTGTTATGCAACTTTGAGTTGTAATAGCTTCTTCTCAATTGCCTCGACCTCCAACCCGCTACCTCCACCGCAGCCACTACCGTTGTAACTACCGCTGGGGATCACTTGGAAGTCACACACCACCACCACCTCTACCTCCTCTAAAAATTTTGAAATATTACTCAAATTTTTACAGTAATGACAAACATTTATAAAAAAGAAAGATGATAAATAAATGAAGAAAAAAATAGATTGTGAACATTGGATTCCACATGATGAGGCAAAGAAGAGACCAATTTGTTATGACGACAACTACAAAAAAACCCACTCAGTGATGACAGTGTAAATTATTTATATGTTGTTGCCAACTATTTCAACTTTTTTAAGAATTAAATATCAATGATTAGAAAACTGGGTTATCAGATACTTTTTTTATATTTAGTTATTTTATGTTATTTTACTCTTATAATATTTGAATTTCAACACTATTTCACATAATTTATCACATGTCACTTTCCGTCTTATGTATTTTTTTTGTTTCATGTATGTCAATTTGTTACTTTATTGTTCAAAAGAAAGTCCTCATTTAACATGTGATTTGGGTATAACATAAAAATCACTTCCAACCTTAATTTTCACTTTACGCAATTTTTGAATTTTGAGGTTTACAACTCAAAACGCCTTGAGGCTTATGCCTCGCCACATGAACAAAAAGCGCCTCAATACCCAATTGCGCAATTTTAAACCTTGGATGCTTGTACATAAATTGTTCATCCTGGATTATAGTATTTCATCAATGAGGAACTTTCATCTGCTAGAAAATATAGAACATTTAGAAGCTTCGCATTGGATTATACTTTGGGAACAAGATTTGCATAAACCACTAAAGAAATGATGTTATTTTTTTACCCAGGCTGAAAGAAATCAATTAAGAACAATCTGATGGAGACTAGTTAGAGTGTCTGTTTCAGTGAGAAGAGGCGTGCATGTGCTTGTAGTAAACCATATATTAATAAAAAAATACATTTAAAGCATATTTTTTGTTGCCTCTTCAAGAAAAGAAAAACCTCCAAATAAATTGAGCCAAATTACTGAAGCAAAAGTGGGCAAAACAAACTATGAATATGATCCAATCGAAACCAGGCATTCATCTACCAACACACCATGCTCCCGTACATTAGTTAGCGTGCCTATGTTTGTTTTGTGCATGCAATCTGTTATAGTTTGTTAAATTGAAAAACGATTGATTTTTGAGATTAAAGATTTCATAAAATTAATAAAGTGATAATCAAAGTACAATAAATAAAGAATGGAAATAAAAAGACCAGTGTCTCACCACAAAGTCCCCGCATCTAAGGGAGCAGACCAGGCTGTCATCTTCTGCTCCCGAAATTTGCTTCATATCTACGTTAACCATTTCATGATCATGCTGAGATGCCCTCTGGCGTACAAAATGATATACATATCTGCCATTTTGAAGAGATCCATGAACTGAAACTCCATGTGCGACATCTAAAACTAGAGAAGAGAGACAACTTGAGTTGTTTTCTCTTAGATGCCGACCTCGAAATATTTCTTTGCTAGCTACCTGAAATCTGCATGGTCAGTTTAACTCAGAACATGACATTGTGCATGCAATAACGGCATCTTGGCTGGAAAAAAGTAACAGACCTGACAAGTTTTTGCTTCCAGGTCAATCAAGCGATCCCAATGCTTAAGGAATTCCAAGTGGGCGATATTTAAATGTCCAGTTTTTTTATCATATAAATCACCAAGGCCGCTAGTCTCGTAACTGCCGGCATATGCCTGTAATATGTAAATCAATAAAAGAAGGTTACTTCAAACAAGTAATCTTAGGAGGTCTGCAATACGGTGGTAAAATGCATTAATGTAATTAATTTTACTTTCTAAATATAGTGTCACATAGAACTTCAAGAGCCCAAAGTTCCATGTAAACTATAGTTTAATTAAAGTTCTTTTGAAGATGCAGGCAATGCCTAAGAGAATCTTAAGGGGTCCAGTGCTACACATATGAGCAATTTAAATGATTATTGGATATATTCACATATCATCCTAGGAGCTAATAGGTTCGGCATGATCATGCAAACCAATTTGGAACCATTCGCAATTTTTGTTGCACTTGGATTCATTAATAAATGAAAATAAGAAATAGATTTTTATTTTCATCGACCACATAAATTGTCAAAAGTGTATCAATGTAGTAATAAAGAAGAGTTTTATCGTCAAAGATAACATATGTTCAATGGCAGCCCACCAAAATATACTTGTGCAAAAGTTTCATACATTCACATTAACCAGCTTGAACATAGTTTTGGCATGGACAAACCACTAATTTTTAAGGAAGATCTAGCAAAGCTTTTCAAAAGGTTGGTTGGACCAAGCTACGATGACAATTGCTGGGTAGCCTTTACTTGAAGATGGTCATGCCAAGATTCTGAAAAGGTATGCACCAAGGCCATTTGCCAAAATATGCATGTTGTTGCCACAAGGTGTGAATGATTCAATAAGATAAATAACATGTCAATGTCCTTACCAATTGATATTAAATGATGTTGTCTAACGGTCAACATTAAAATACTGGTGTGGCAAATGAAGTGACATGAAAGGTTCACCCTTTGCCAAATATTTAGCAATTGCTCCCTTTTTAGCATGTTTGCCCAAGGAAATGAAAATAACTACCAAAATGTATGCAGTCTCATGGAATGATCTTATTTTGATTGTTTCTATTTATTGAAAACTTCAATTCAGGATTTTAAAAAAAAAATAGAGCAAGAAAATCCCTGGATGGTATTTAATGAAAACAATTCATATAATAAATTACTAATTTCAAATGAACCATTGGCAGATATTCGAAAATAAATGCAGTAAATCCTTCCGGAACAATTAGACTCATTTTCATAAATCATTAAGAACTAACCATACACTCCATTCACAATTTTTGTTATTGCCCTTGAAAAGCTAGTTGCATTTTATTCCCTTACAAAGAAAAACTGTAACATCTCGAACCTAAGTGTATGGCTCCCATATCTTGGAGTCACAGAAGATAAAGTGAGTAGTTTTCAATGCTTGGTGTCGGGGGAGATGGAACGAGTATTCGAAATAACTACGACAATTCCGTCTCCAGTAGTCGCAAGGAAAATGAAAGGCCTCGTCTCTTTAAAACCGAAAGAGAGAGGGAGACCGGAAGAGACCGAGAAATACTGAGAGAAAGAGAGAGTGAGAGAGAGAACCTACGAACTGATGTGCAATCGAAAGCGGCAGTGGTGCCTGAAGGTGACGAAGCTGTGCGTGAGGCCAACGACGCACTGTGTTGTCGAGAAAGGAAGACTGAGCGTCTAAATGTTAGGATTCTCCTTATAAGGAATTTATAAATAATTTTAAGTTTTTTTTTTTAAATAAAATGTAATATGATTTTAATGAAAACAAGAAGGACAAAAATTTCTATTTTAAGATTTTATTTTTTAATCTAGAAAATAATTTTAATATTTAAGGAATAATTTAAAACTAAGAATTCTTTTTAAATTGTGATTTTATTAATGCATTTTTAGATGAAAATTTACATTTATAAATTTAAAATATCTTGATAAAGAAATTTATATCAGAAATAAATCTAATTAGAATATGATTTTCCTTTCATTTTAAAATGTTTATTAATATATACACATATATAGAGAGAGAGGGAGAGAGAAGAATAAAATTTTAGTAATATGATAAGTGATAAATAAAATTTTAAATATAAGTAAATAGAATATATATGAATTAATAATAATTGTCTTTTATAAAAAATGAAACTCACTTCTATACATTTAACAGCTAATTAGAGATAATAAAAAAGTCTTACGAACTCAATTATTGCAGCTGGAATGAGAAATCAATAAATCAAACAACATGAAATAATTTATGATGATTTCGGAATAAATAAAGTTAGAAAATAAAGCCATTAAAAATGATGAAATTTTACTTTACCTTATGGTAAATTGAACAAGAATTCAGATGACGGCAGTTTTGGCACACCGTGGGATTCTATTCGTGAGGAGAAAATATTATTAGTGTTCCCGAATTAAAATCAAAATGTACGTGTAGGTGAATACAAAAAGTACCTTTAGCATTGGAGGCAGAACTTGGCTGGTTGATGCTTTTAAGATATCAGATGCGAGCTCATTCCGACGCATAATTAACCCAACCAAGTCTGATCGTTGAACTTTAATACCCTAAACACACTTTGGTCAGCACCTTAGCAATTGCAAAATACAAATAGCTGCACTTACCCTTGTCTCATCGGTATGAAGATAATATAGAAGGCCGGAGTCAACATCCTTGCGAAGATATCTGAAACAGAAAGATTCCGTAAAGGATAAGCAATAAAATATTTGGTGAATCATATCTCAATTTTGTTCGCGTGTATTATCTCCGGAGTTCGTATAAAATTATGAAAAAGGAGACAGTATTCTGTGTGGACTCCGGACATAGAGGACGCACTACGTACGCTTTGCTTACATTCTGCGTATTTGTAGATACGCAGCAAATCCTCACATCTAATTATTTGCTGCTCATTTACTACGTATCTAAAAATACGCAATATATACGCAGTAAATATGCAGAACGTAGGCAAAACTTACGCATAGGATATGCAGAAATCCGAAAAATTCTCTATGTTTGAACTCCACACAGAATAATAGAAATCATAAAATAACACTGACAAGGACAGGATCACCTCTCAGACATCAGAAGTGTGTACAGTATCACTTGAGCACGATGTTCCACAGCAATCTGAACCAATAGAAACGCATGCAGCTAAGATAGCAAAAAAGAAAAGTGAAGTCTACAAAATAAGAAAAATTAATGATTACTCTATCTAGTACTAGTTCTATTCAAGCATACCTAGTGTTAAAATAAAACAAGTTATAAGTCATTCAAAATGAGAAACATGCATGCATGCATGATTCTATATATCTCATCTTGATCTGTTGATTAGAAGCTTAGGCTATCAATTAAGAGGTCATGGATTCGAATCTTGTGTATACGATGTGTGTGTGACTCTGCCTAAATAGGCCTAAATGTCCAAAAAAAAATCCATCCATAAGTATAAATAGAGCAAATTGCAATTCATTTAAAATTAGAAACATACAGTACGTATGACAATACCCAGGATTACATTCAAGAAAAAATTTGCAAAGCCAACCCTGCATTTCAGATTCAAAAAGACAGCAAAATGAGTGATGAAACAACTGTTGACTATCTAGGGTTTTCCATGGGGACATCCCTTAGATTTGTAAACGAAGTTGCAATTCACTCAAAACTAGAAAAAAGATTTAGCATGTCATGAATAACTTTAAAGGAAATGTGCAAGCCATTATTGATTTGTATTATACAACTTTATTAACCCTTTAAGAGATATTATTCTATTGGAAGAGCATGGAATTGTTTACTAAGATGATAACAGTTTTTACAAGCTTAACAATTGTGGGCTTCAAAATTTGTGCCGATTATGCTAAAAGAGTTTTAGCATGTTCACTTAAAATATCACCCTTATTTCACAAAAACTTTATAATTTGATTCTAAGATTCTCATACGAATTAATTACTCATCACATGATGAGAGAGAACTTCAATTTAGGTTAGTAGTTAGGAGTTAAATGCTTAGCATATAGTAGCAATAATTTAGTTTAAAGTTGATAAATTTACCACTTTAAACTTAAAATGAATGTTGCGAAGAATAATTACGAAGCTAATCAAGATCTCAAGATTTTGTCATCCTAGGTTGTCGTGGGCCCTGGTCTGCTCAGTCAAAGGAAGAAGTCAACCGAATCCAATTGAAGAATTCTTATTGACATGCATGAGTTGCTTCATCAAAAAGAACATTATAGACCTGGGATGAAAATTTGTCAAAGGGGACACCTTAAAATCAACCGTACCTGACAAAAGGCTTTATGCGCCATCAAGTACACCCTATAATTCATTACTCAAGAGTTTTAGTCATTGAGGAATATTTGGGCTCTGGTCATGACCGTAATTTAATGGTGTCATTTTGCAGCAAAACCATAGGATCAAAGGGCCCCAATTATAAACAATTAGATACAAGTATTTAGCAACAAAAAACCCTGGCAGATGACATGTTTTACAACCTTACTAGCTATTATGATGGACCAACACTTTTTCTAAAAAATGAGTGCAGTGTCTGACACGTATCCAACATGACACGCGTGCGACACATCTCTGACACGTGTCGGACACAACAAAAATGCGTTCGATTAAAAAAAAATTAAATATAAATTGGAAATGTGTCCAACATGCATGTCTTTAATATTTTATGAATGTTTTTTAAATATAATGTATTGTATAAGTTGTATTTAAAATTTTTATTTACTTAAAATATAAAAACTAAATTTATTATTTTATATCAACAACACCAAATCAATCGCCCGTACTCAATACCTCATTCATAGAATATTCTCATTTTTATTTCCCTTTGGCGGATCGCGGCTTTAGTTTCACAACAATGCCCAATATCACCTCAACAATGAAGTTTGATTCGTTACAACACCGACATTTCAAAATCATCTCAATATCAAAGTCTTAGTGTCCTGACATGATGCTCGACGCTAGTAATTTCTACACGCACAACTTGACAGTTCATATTTGTCCAACGTCGACTTAACAATGACGACCAACGTCCTTTCAACATCGACAACAAACACCCAATACTTACTGCATAAAATCGATGCCCGACTCTCAATATTCTAATTTTAATCATTTTAAGAACAATTTTTAGTTAAATGGCTTATTATTTCTAAATTATTTTAATAGTATACTTATTCAATTTTTATACACTATTTTTAAAATATAAAATTATAATATCATGTACAATCCGTATTTGTGCCATATATTTTCAATAATTGACGTGTCTGCGTTCTGTCGTATATGTGTCTCTATGTCTGCGTCTGTGCATCATAGCTTACTAGCAAAAAATTGTTGTGAACAAAATATAGTGATATACTTAACAGGTCTATTGATCTCAACATGAACTCCAAAATTGAACCAACCAATCACAAGGACTGGCAAACGACGAAAACGCCATGCAAAATTTTCAAAACATTACTTCTTGAGGAAAATGGATCGAATTATTAGTTTGAAATGTTATTGAAAACAGCCAACTATGGATGCGATTTTGCACAAAACCATCTGCACGCCATCCATTCAAAGGGGTCTTAAACGTCGAAAGTACTAGAAAAGGCAACAATATTGCTTGGATTTCCATACAAGAGAAACAAGGAAAAATCCACCCATGCGTGCAGAATAAGGATGAAATTCAACGCACACAATTTTGTTCTTCCAAAATATTTTTTCCTATCAAGATCTCATAAAGTAATTCATCAAAATAACATTTTCATTTTAAAAAGGAAAGTAATTTATAAAATAACATTCAAGGGTAAACCGTTGGAGTTCATGAAGCATGCACACTGTTTTGGTATGTACAAGTGGTTTTAAAGTACAAAACTAATGTTGCATCAATGTTAATGCTAATGTTAATCACTAAGCCATAATTAAGGGGGCAGCAACAGCAGCAGCAACAACAACAACAAGCATTTATTCCACTAATAAAGAAAGGTCATTTCTAATATTTTATAACCAAGTCTTTTTAGGTCTACCTCTACCGTTCTTAATATAAGTCAAATTTAATACATCTACTAAGCAATAATTAAGGGGAAAAAAATCAATGCAAATTTTGAATGAGCAGATTTTTTCTGAGAGAGAAATCAATGGAATTATTAGCATAGAGACGGACTACAATATGACCATTACACAATCAAAAAATCATTTTAACCAGTTAAATCATAAAGTGAAAAGACACTGATAATAAAACATATAAGAGATGGATCATATCACAGGCATTCTAGGCATCTTAGAGTCGCCACTAAGCACGCAAATAGTATAGAAATTAAGAAAAGAAATTAAATGAAGTGTTTACTGTCAAATGAAAAGAAATATATCTGAAAATGAATACCAGTGATCACGTTTTAAAAAGGTGAAAGAAAAAATCAAGACGATGTCTTAGTGAGGCCAGGAGCAAGCCTGAAGATAGATCTAGTGGTAAGCCTCTAAACATAAAAATAATATATTCAAAAAATTACAAATAATTCATAAAAATGACAAGTAAAATAATTATCAACATATTTACTTAATTCATCATTATAAAAATATAAACCACAAATCTCATTATTAAATGTTATTATAAACCAAAAGTTTGAAACAAGATTTATGGCAAACACTCACTTAAAACTTAAAAATGGTGCAAAGATTAGAATTCATAGTGGTTTTATTCTCAATTTCATATTCTTCACAAAAGACCTCGTATGTATAATTATATCATCCTCGAATTCTATCTTATTGTCATCTTTAAGATTTTCTTCAAATACAACACCACTTCAATAACTTTAGTAGTAATAGATCTAGTGGAGGGTTTGAAATTTTGGGCGATCAAATCATTAATAAGAGTACACATTTTAGATATATTGGGTCTACTGTTTAGAGTGCTGGTGCAATAGATGGGAATAGTATTAGCAGAATTCAAGTTGAATGGTTATAGTGGAGGAATGCATCCAATTTGTTGTGATAGAAAAGTCCCCCTCAAACTTAAGGGAAAATTCTATAAGATGGTAATTGAGACCTATAATGTTTTATGGTGCATAATGATGGCCATTAAAAGAGAAGCAAAATATTAAGTTAAGTGTTGCAGAGAGGAGGATGCTTAGGTGGATGAGAGGCTTTATTGTTGAAGACAGGATACGAAATGAGCATATACGTTTAGAGTGGCTCCAATGAAAGATAAAATTAGAGAGAGGAGCCTTAGATGGTTTGATCACATAAAACGACGGCCTTTCGATGACCTGGTTAGGAAAGTATATGTATTAGATTTGTCTTATGTTAAAAAAGGTAGAGATAGACCTAAAAAAGACTTGATTAGAAAATATTAGAAATGACCTCTTTTTTAGATTTAAATGAGAATTCAACTCTTAACAAGACACAATGAAGAAAAAGAATTCATGTAGCCGACCCCACGTAGTGGGATAGAGGTTTGATGTTGTTGTTGTTGTTGTACTCCCTGTATCAGTTATCAATGAACACAATATAATTTAAAATAAAATAGCAAATTAATGATACAAAAAATAATATATTATATTTAAATTGTCTTCTGATTTTTTTAAGCTCCAACACCACTTTGTTTATTTCTTTTAAATAATTGTGAAGTGTAAATTGATCTCAATTCAGTAGCCCTTACAGTATTAGCATTAATATATTCATTCTTCTCATCATTAAAAGTTATTCATTCATCTTCAAGTTCAAATCTTTCACTATTTTTTATGTAATATATATATATCATCATATAGTATATCACCTATAACAAAAAAATCAATTTCATCATCAATACTTATTTACCATTATAATTCGAAGTGTCTATCTTTTAATTTTTTATAAAACATACAACAACAACAATAAGCTTGGATCTCACTACATGGGGTCAACTACATGAATTTTTTTTCTCAATTTTTTATACACATAATATAAATAATTCATCCTATAGTCAATCGGTTACCTCTCTTTATATAAAAAAACAAAATATATATTATTCATAATAATAATAATAATAATAATATATAATTAAGATTTTATAAAATTGAACTTGACTGAGATGCCTCCTCAAAAAGCCTTGAGACATACGACTTATTTAAAACGCCATGAGGCATACAACTTATTTAAAAAATGCATAAGCGTCATTGGCACCAATGGGCTTAACCCTCAAGGCGCACCTTAATATGTGCGCCTCGAACGAATTTTTAAACCATGCCAGTGATCATAAAGTCAACAATTCTCATTACAGCTATCAAAAACAATCTCAGGAAATGAAGAAGTGGAAAAACAACAAGTATAAAAAATAAAATAAGTAATAAAAACTGCAAGAACACATTCTAAGAAACATCACATGAAGATCAAAGTTAATTTCAACAAAGAAAAGAAAAAAAAAAGAATTATAAAGTAAATGCAAAATATATTCAAAAATAAATATTTTCAATGCTCTATACTACCTGACCAGTTGTTCCCTTCCCAGATTTGAACTCTAATGGAATAATTGTTTCCATTGAATCACCAACGCCTACACCCCTCTTAACATGTAAAGAAGCATCGATGATCCCTTTCAAGCCGTATTTTGGAGCCCATGCCATCTCTTCTATATCCATGACCTAAATAATTCAAAAAAATAGACCACATAGAAGAGGCTCAAAATTAAAAAGTTCTAAATCGGAAGAAAATTAATTTTTAAATACTAATGGAATATTTATCACTAATTGTAGCATAATAAGGATGAACGCTTGAAGAGCATGTTTGGCATGGTGACGGGACTCTTCCCTACTACCACATTGTACGGCTTCCCATAATCAAATACCAGGACCCTTCAGAAAAAATTAACTCATAAACCAACCATGTCATATAATTATTGACTCAACTGCTCAATAAAAAACAACTAACCATATCAATTTCAATCAGGTAAGTTGTATTGCAGAAAAACCAGAGAAAAGTTGCAGTAAATAGCCCATGCCTAAAGTAGAGAAAGATGAAAGAGGAAAAAAAAAACAACAATGCCAAAGGATTCCATCAATACATTTATTCTTAACACAAATCTCTGAGAAGCAATTAACACAAAAAAGTATTACTCCCTAATTTTGATAGCCTGAAAAAAAAAAGTACGAAAAATCCTCACAATTGATATGTTCAGAAATTAAATTTAAGTTAACTGAATGATAACAAATACCTTACATACATTAAATCATGTAATACATTTAAAGGACCCCGACCTGAAGCTCATCAGATGCAGTAAAACTGGACAAGCTAATGCAAAGCCATATCAGATCACAATATAACAGTTATTGGAGACTATTTACCACTCATTTTAGTTCAGGTTGTTCAAGGTGATCAGGTTTCTGAAAAAAAAATCAATGAATACTCTTCAACAAGTCGACGGACTATCATTATCTGCATAATTTGGTGGTGAGAACCCTACCTCAATTATTGAAACTTCCTTTTGTCCTTCATTGTGTCCAAAATCAACAACAGCCTTTTCTCTTTCCTAAAGCCAATGGCAAGAAGATCATCAGCTGATTCCATGAGCAATCAGACGATGCAAAAGAAAATGACAGTTCAAGGATAATTGAGATGGCAGAGTATATTTTACTAAAAACTACCATGCAACATGTTTAACAAATTGTCATGCCGTTACCCAGAAACGCTTTTTTGCAAATTTTTGAACTTTTATGCGTCATTTTGATTAGGGCAATTCAGAAAGTCATGGTGAGAGAAGAGATGTTTTGTTTCTAAGAATAACTTTGAAGACATCAAATTATATTCACTTTTGAAGGACTGAAAAGTAGAGGGATTGCTAAAGTGAGAGATACAAAATTGTTAAAATTTAAAAAAAAAAAAATCTACAATTTTTTCTAAGAGTAACGCGGAAGGAAATAGAACACATATTAAGCAAAAGCAAAATGATTATTCATATTGAAGTGGAAACAAAGGCAAGTGCAACACAAGATCTAAGTTGCAAACAATAGCAACATGCAAAGAGGCTATTTATAAAAAGTACCAAAGAATTATTACAAGTTTCTAGCAGTAAGTATGAACATTAGAAGCATGGCACACCCAAAAGAAAAGGCAAGCCTTCCTAAATCTGGCTTGCTCAAATTTACTCATATTAAAGTGATTCGAGGTTAATTCTTCAGAAAGTAGGTTGATATTAGATAAGACAGAAGACACTATCTAGTGCTGTGAGGACTTTGTGATCTAATTTGAGATTAATCATAGGCACAAGCCTATAATTGTTAACCCCTCTCAATCATGAGAGAGAATCTATAGGCTTTATGATGGTTTGCAATATAAATTAAAGGAAAGAATATCCCGCAATTGGATCAAAACATATGACAGAGAAAATGATGACAACCGCAATCAATATCCTATGACTCTATGTAAGGAGGAAATGAGAAGTTTATTCACACTCGTTGGCAAGCACTTGAGTTCATATCTTTTTCTATGAGACCAAAATGCAATTCTAGTGTTTTCATAATCCCATACTTAGGCTTTTAGTTCATTATTTTTATTTTTGTTCATTTTATTTTGATCACGAAGGCTTTTTTAACATAACACTCACCCCCCTTGCGACACACACACAAATAGGATAGCACAAAATATGGTAGGCCATACTACAAACAACAACAAAGGATATACATACAGTGTACAAGGCATCACAACTAAAAATTAATCCCTAGCAACATAAACAAATACATGTATGTGTGATGTGTAGAGGGATCTAAACAAGACATTTTAGAGTCCACCAAGCAAAGAAAGATGGGAATGAAATTTGAGGCAATTTTCGCAAACAAAGGAAACACAAAATAGAATAATATGATTTTCATGTCAAGTAAAGATAAATGTGTACAAAGAGCATGCAAAGCAACAAGATCACTCCATATTAAATTGCACAAGATGGATGGCACATTCAACAAGGAGAATTTGAGAGAGATTAGAGAGAATAAGAACGACAAAGAATGCAGGACGATACAAGAGAAAGAGGTAAAGATGATGACGATTGTAGGCTCCTGTGGCTGGGGCATAAGGAGAGGAAGCAAAAAATTAGAGACAAGGATGAGTGGCGGATTTACTGTTTTTTTTTTTTCAACTTCTCTTACTTGTTTTAATTAAAATTAGAAGTTAAATGGCCTCCATTTAAGGCGCCAAAAAGACACCTAAAAAAGAAGGGTGCTGATCAACACTATTGATTTTTGAAAATAAGGGGCAAAAAAATGTCCATGTTGTTCATTTTTATAAAGAAAATACATTTTTATATTACAATAATATATTTTTATGTATTATTATTGTATCTTTTTTTTAATTCTTTTTAAGGCATTATGATCTTAAATTCATTGTCTAACATTTTTTTAAAGCTAACTTCCAAAAAAAACTCTATAGAAAGTTAATAGAAATCAGACCTCAGATAGGGAATTCCATAGGAGAATGTCATTCAGTCACTTGCAAGATGTATGTGCGTGCATACTCCCCCTTCAAACTTTCTTTTCCCTAGCGCACAAAAAAATGTTTTTTCCCCTATTCATATGGCAACTAGAGCAATACAAGGGACCTCCCTAGATTGTTCGACTTTCTAAAGACAACAAGATAGTTTAGCGACACGGGTGGCAAATTCAGAATAATTTTGGGTCATGCTTGTAAAACTATATCAAATTTTCATTGTTGTTGTTATGCTCGTTCAAGTCTACTTTGGATGATATATGTAGGTCAACCCTGACATGCTCAGCCAATGTAAATATCCACAACAACAAATAGACATTATTCAAATGTGAGACTATCTCAAACAGCCTACCACAGAACACAACGAAAAATAATAATAATAAAGAGCTTTACATGACTACTGGGGAAAATTATTTCATCTTAATTAGTTAAAGTAATATCATGATATACTTCAGTACCTCTAGACCTCGAAAGCATTTTATCCAGTTTATTATTCTGGGGATTGCTTGTAGAAGTTCAGCAAATGTTGCACTCTGATTAGCTGCATAGAAATGCACAAATGCAGCAAGTAATGAAAGGTAAGTATGAGGAACAAAGCAAGCAAGTTTAGGTTCATAATCATAAGACAGACTTTACATCAGATCATTTTATGCTGCACTATCTAAGGAAAAAGATGATTAATGAGGTCTGGCATAAACAAATATATGGTGTGGCATAATGTTATAAAATTTAATTATTTCTATCACTGGCTACAGATAGTTTACTTGCCATCTTACCACCACATGCGTACAAGTTCTCAATGTTTTCTTGCAGTATGATGGCAGCACGCTCATCCAAGAAATGCCTGGTTGGCGAATCCTCGAGAAGACCAGCCTAAGAGAATATAAAAGAATTCAAACAAATATAATTGTAGGTTTTCATAATCCGTGACCACTCCTTCCATTAACTTATACAGAATTTTACAGAAGTGAACCTGAAAGATCTGATGAAGCATGGTACCAATTAACGCCGGAGAAGAATATTCACTAGCTCTGAGCCTCTCATCAAGAACAGCACGTCGCGGACAACTAAAACTAGAGGCAACCTAGATATGCTAGCAGGTCAACATCCAGTATAAAATGAACAATGTGCTCCTTGTCCAAACATGAACTTAGGCTCCAAAAGAGAAAAAAATTGAAATAAAAAACAAAAATGAACCACACTGTATACAACATTTAAATCATGTCCTAAACGTTAAATATAATGAAAGCTTGTTGCCTTTGTGTGTTCAAGTATATGCAAATGGTTATACAAGAAGGTTAAAAACAGGAAGGCACTTACCCTTGTCCCGGACATGAGTATATTAGGAAAAACTATAACGAGATTGTTACTATGGTCAACAATGCATTTTCCCTCATCAAATTTTCCAACAACATTCACAGTATCACCAGGTCCAATTATGCTGTAAAACCTGAGAAGAGATGCACAGTATGCTAAGTACAGCAGTGACGTACAACAAAATAAATAAATAAGCAATGAGACAACTCATCCCAATCAAATTGATAAAATAATCAGTAATTATATCCCAATAATTTGGTGTTGGCCGAACAGACCCTCTTCCACTCATTCTTATTCCCTATATATTACCTCTATTTGCACAAATCTTTTTCACAATTGCTAGCCATGCTATCTTTGAACTACCTATTTTCCTCCGAATATTTTCACATTAGTTATATCATCTACTCATCTTATAGATTCATCTAACCCAACATTGCATGTGCCCAATAATCTGAAGTTTATTTTTATCATTTATTTTAAATAGATGTCACCCTCACTATCACTTTGATTATAACTATATTCTTCTTGATTTCACCAAACATACTTCTTAACAATCTCACTTTTACCATTCAACTTGGCTAAAACAATTTTTCTTACCACACAATACTAAGATCTATAGCACATAGCAGTCCACGATAATGGTTTTATAAAAATTAACACAAAATCATGTTTCATTTTGTGTTACACAACCAACCATGGTATCCACAAAACAGAACCAAATAGAAGCGCCGCAAATTGAAGTGCACATTGTCGTATGTCTTATAAAACTAAGGCTTCATTTGGGACGGTTTTTTTGTTGCTTTTCAAATCAGCTTTTCAGTATAAAAATTAAAATATTTGTACCAAAAAGCTGCTTTAACAAGCGACAAGAAAGTCGTCCCAAACAAAACCTAAGTCTTCAAACACAAGTGGGAGTTTAGAACTGTACATGCCTCTTTTGAGAATAGTGTTCAAAAAATTGATTCCTGGTCATTAGCAAATTTAAATTTCTTATAACTCAATTCATGCCACACCTAATGTTTACTCCTGTAGATGCACAGCTATATAAAAAACAGAAGTTTGACTGCTGAAGTCATTCAAAGGGTTAAATATGTAAATCTTTTTTGCCCCCAAAGTGTTAATTGATTAAACTAACATATGAATTAGTCTAAACATACTAACCATTCATCACATAGATATAACGCCCTCTCCTCGCCAGTAAGTTCATGAAGCAAACGAAGAACCTGAAAGAAAAAAAAAATAGCAAAGATACCGCAAATCAGTTAAGCCTTACGCATTTCAGAATAGAATTTTTATCAAACAAAAGTCCCAAGTGACACCTTGTAAGGATTATGAACATGAGAAGAATCAGCAGTTCCGTGCTTTTCAGAAACCTATGGCATTTCATTTAGCAGGTCAGATGATAAAACAAAAGGCAACATGAGCATTTTTAAGTAGATGACTGCTATGGGGAAAGTAATCAAACCTCCAAAACAAGAAACACTTCGTCGTTTAAATAGCTGTCGACCTTTTGTGATGCGGCAACAGCAGCTTTGTTTTCTTTCAAATTACATGTTTCTTTTTTCTGGCCACTAGGATCACAAAAGTTCTCACGTTGCATTCTTCTGTTCGGTACTGCTTTATCAATAATCACATCTTCAACTTGATCGAGTAGTTCAATAAATGCCTGGAAATGTAGATGTCAAAAATCAGTAAACATATTCTTCACACCCATCCAAAGAGTAATCGACCATGAACCATTTAGAATGGCATTGACAAACCTTGTGGTGTTTCCCGAAACCCAGTTCATCTGATTCGCCATTACTGAACATACCAACCGTACACTACAACCACACAAACATCACTGTACAAACTATATCATGGTGGATTTATAGAAACGCTAACGCTACAATTCATAGATTATGGTGAATTTATAAAATTCACTAGACTGTCACTACATATTGCCTAAAGTGAACGAATTGTACCTTGCTGCCATCATATAAAGCAGAGGGGGGAGTCTGAAATACTTTGCTTGAAGTTTCCATACAAGCGCTCTCATTTCCATGGCACATCTCAATCTCTTGCTCAAGTGATAACTTCCTAGAGGAAGATAAAGATCCACCAGTATCCTTTACTGTTGGAGAAGAGAGCCACTTCTCAAGTCTTGCAGCGGGAGAACAAGACGAATTCTATAGTTTGGCAAATGAATCATGACGGGTTATTTATATAAGTTATATAAACAGATACAGGCAACGATTATGAGGTCCTCACCTGCTTCTGCATGCAAGGATGGATAAAGGAGGCAATCGGTCTGGGCTGATCTGAAAGCATGCTCGTAATTGTGGGTAACTGCTTCGCATTCAGTGGTCTCAATCTTTCATTTAGCGGAGAAATTTTCCATGTGATATCGTCTCCGCCATCATCTTGGCTCTGCTTTATCAACTATACGTCCATCAAAACGGAATTTTGATGTCACATTCCAGAGGGTCTTAAAATGAGATAAAAGAAAAAAATTAAGAAGGTAAGAGTACCAATCTGGGGGAAAACTTGAAACGCTTAAAAGGGACATTCTTGGTGAACTCCGGAGAAACCGGTGATAACTTTTCTTCACTGTCAGCCATGGCGGCTGGTTGTGGCAGATCTGCAGGGGATGGCTTGCTCGAAGTGGGACTGAGATCGACATTCGAACTTGGGTTTGGAGCGGGCTTAGAGTTGGGGTTAAGGACGGGTTTGGACACATCTAGGGTACAGGAAGAACTAGAAGCCGCCTGCGTCTGCGAGTGCCGCTCGAAGAAATGCTGGATGCCATACTTAGAAGTTGGAAGTTGCTGGCGGCTGAGGTTTGCTTTTCTTGTAGAAGATGAAGAGGATGCAGGTTTCTTCCTTGGAGCCATGGGAGTTGGAATTACGGGAAGGGAAGGAAAGGGTTTAGGGTTTCATGTAAGATGGGAAGCTCAGCGGCGAGATAATAATGTACACTGTGAAGGAAGGAATGCGAAAGAGTTTCCCGCCCAAATGGACGAACTGGCTTTTGAGGCGAAACCGAGGGGCTGTTCGGTACCGACTTATACGGGACATACGCAGTGTACACCTAAAGAGTGCCCAAAAGGAACTTTTATTTGGTCCGGTGAACGTACGCAATTCTAAGTTCGGCCCCAGTAAAATCACGTCACGTATTTCATTATTTACCGTGCGCCCAGATTGTAAGGTTCGAGAGCCAGAGAGAAACAGATGGAAAGGAAATATGATAGATTGTATTTTCACATTGTCTAATAGATACAGTGAGGTATTAATAGAAAGCTGAAGACAAGAAATAAAACTAACTACAAGAAAGTACAATGACCATTGGCCTTTATACATCAGGACCAGCCGGTATAAGCCTATGCTAACATCCCCCTTCAAACTGATGGAGGGGGAGCGTCGATCAGTTTGTTGCATAGTAATTTAAACCGCCGTGTAGGAAGAGGCTTGGTGAAGATGTCGGCCAGTTGATCGTTAGTCGAGATGTGATGTACGGTGATATGTTTGGATCGGATGTTATCACGGATGAAGTGGCAATCAACATCGATGTGTTTGGTGCGAGCATGATAGATCGGGTTGTTGGAGAGTGCAATAGCGGAGGTGTTGTCGCAATAGATGGTTGTGGGAACCGTTTGAGGAATGTGAAGTTCTTCAAGAAGTTGTCGGAGCCACATTACTTCAGATGCTTCTACTGCCAATGCTATGTACTCGGCTTCAGTGGAAGAGCGTGCCACCGTTGCTTGTTTCTTGACACGCCAGGAAATTAGAGATTTTCCTAGGAAATTGCAGTACCCGGAAATGGATTTCCGGTCTTGAATGTTGTTCGCCCAGTCAGCGTCCGAGAAGCCCTGTAAGGTTAGCTCATCACGATAAAGAGGTAAGCCATGATCGGTTGTACCTTGAATGTACCGGAGTAGATGTGTTAGAGCAGTGAAGTTGCTGGTCAGCGGCTTGTGCATAGATTGACTAAGTTGATGAACATCATATTGTATATCAGGCCTTGTTAGTGTAAGATACTGAAGCGAGCCAATTAATTGGCAGTACAAATGCGGATTTTCAAACGTGCTGGAGGGAGCGTTTGAGCTGGATGTTGTCCCGGACGTAGGATTGGCAACTGGCTTTGCATTCTGCATGCCGGCTCTGTCCAGAATCCGCTTGGCATATTGTTGTTGATGAAGTAGTAGTCCGTAGTTAGTGTGTACAGTCTAGATCCCCAAGAAGTGAGCGAGCGATCCTAAATTGCGCATTTGGAAGTGATCGTGAAGGCTCGATAGTAGTCATTCAATTTCGGTTGGTGAATTGCCGGTGAGTAAAATGTCGTCAACGTAGATAAGAATGTAAAGACGAGTTGAGTTAGATTTGTAGGTTAGAAGAGAAGGATCAGCGGAGCTTATAATAAACCCGAAATTTTGAAGATGAGTTGAAAGAGTTGCGTACCATTCGCGGGGAGATTGTTTGAGACCGTAGAGGGCTTTGTTGAGCTTGCAAACGTATGTCGGGTGGAGAGAATCTTGAAATCCTTGTGGTTGTTCCATGTAGACTGTATCCGAGAGTTTGTCGTGCAAGAAGGCGTTAGAGATGTCCAGCTGATGAATCTGCCATTTGAAATGAAGTGCGAGGAGGATAAGAACACGTATGGTTGGAATCTTGGCCACCGGGCTGAAAGTTTAAGTGTAATCGAGCCCATGTTCTTGATGAAATCCTTTGGCGACTAGGCGAGCCTTGTATCGGGCGATTGTACCATCCGACTTAAGTTTTGTTCTGTAAGTCCATTTACAGCCGACTACATTTTGATTGGGTTCGGGCGATACAAGGTCCCAAGTGCCTTGCATTTGGAGCGCTTGGAACTCTTGGGACATGGCGGCGCGCCAATGTTCGCTTTTGACAGCTTGATTGTAGGTAGTTGGATCATTATTGTGAATGATGCGGGGGAGACTGAAGATGGGTTTTGGCTTGGCGTGATCGGACTTAGAGCGAGTTAACATGGGATAAGTGATTTGCTGAGCTCTGTGTTTGGTGGTATGGGAATCGGGTGGGATGGAAGCAATAGGAGTAGGAGGATTGTTGTGTGATATGTAGGGTGTGATAGTTGGTGCCGTGCTGTGGGGAGCAGAGATCCGTGGAGAATTGGTGGAAAAGGGGAATACGGGCAGTGGGCACAAGTAGAAGAGGAGGTATGTGAGGAGCTGGAGACGTAGGTGTGCTAAAGGAATCAGAGAGTTGGGAGAAAGGGAAGATGTCTTTATTGAAGGCGACGTGACGTGAAACATATATCTTGTTAGTTTTCGGATCGAGGCACTTATAACCTTTCTGATGTGAGGCGTAACCGAGGAATACGCAAGGTTGTGAGAGAGGCGAGAATTTGTGTGCTGCGTGTGGCTTAAGCCACGGATAGCAAAGACAACCGAATATTTTGAGATGACTGAGATTATGACTAGCGTTGTAAAGAATGGTGTAAGGAGATTTGTTGTCGGTGTTCGGCGAAGGTAGACGATTAATAAGATAAACTGCAGTAACTAGAGTGTCGGCCCAGAGGTGATTTGGAATAGAAGCGGTGAGAAGAAGAGTCCGAACGGTTTCGGTGATGTGCCGATGCTTGCGTTTGTCAGTACCGTTTTGAGGTGGAGAGTAGGAACAGGTAAACTGATGTAAAATGCTCTGGTTTGTTAAGTGAATTTTAAAGTGATTGTTAATGTATTCGCCTCCGCCGTTGGTACGAAGAATTTTGATATGAGCTTGAAACTGGCGGTGAATCATGTTTTGAAATTCTAAAAATTTTGCAAACACTTCAGATTTTTTTTTAAACAGATAAACCCAGGTAAATTTAGAGTAATCGTCGATAAAGCTAACATAATATTTGTAACCGTAGGTAGAGACAAAGGGGGAAGGTCCCCACACATCCGAGTGAACAAGAGAGAAGGGAGTCGAACTAGTGGTTTGAGATGTATTAAATGGCAAACGGTGGCTCTTGGCCATTTTACATGAATTGCAGTGAAATTTAATAGAAGAAATACAAATGTGTGGATCTTGATGAGCAAGATGAGAGAGCGTGGCGGAGGAAGGATGTCCGAGCCGGCGGTGCCATAGATCGGGAATGGACTGGACGGAGAGGAGAGCCAGTTGAGAGATGTCGTTGGCGGTGTGATGCTTGACCGAAATGGGATAGAGACCGTTAATAGACGGACCCTTGAGTAGAGTGCGGTGTGTCTTCCGATCCTTGAGTTCATAACCATGAGATGAAAAGGTTATAAGACAGTCATTATCATGAGTAAGTTTGTGAACGGATAAGAGGTTGAATGAGAGATTTGGAACGAGATTAAGATGAGATAGGTGGAGGCTACCTTGCGGGGTGGGAAGTAGACCTTTACCGGTGTTTTGAATAGGGAGTTGTTGACCATTCCCTAGAGTGACTTGAGAGGTGCCAGTATACGGTTGAGAGTATTGAAGATGGCTCGGGTTGGAGGTAAGATGCGAAGACGCGACACTGTCGAGGAACCATTCGGTGGAGGAGGTAGCGGCCGGAGAAGTGAAGAGAGCGGCGGACTATGGTTCGGTATTGTAGTCTTCGTCATGACGATACCAACATTTAACGGCGGAATTACCGTTCTTGCCGCAGATTTGGCAAGTAATAGTGGATCTTGCATTTCTTGGGCCGCGATTGGTTGTAGTGTTGGATCGATTGCTGGGGTTCCGTCCGCGATTAGATGAAGATCTGCCGCGACCTCGACCGCGAGGGGCAGCAAGCGCTGTGGCATTCCCGGCAATTTGAAGAGATTGAAGCTCACGGGTGGCTTCATGAGCAATGTTGAGCTCCTCGCTACAAAGTAGCGTATACAGTTCGTCAAGATCGATGGGTTGACGACTGGTGCGTATTGCCATTTTAAAGGCTTGATACGTATGAGGGAGACCGTCCAAGGTGTAATGGATGACTTCTTCGATGGGAATGATGGCTCCGGCAGCAGCAAGAGCATCTACCTTGGCCTTGATGTCCAGTAGATATTGAGACATCGTTTTATCTTTCATTGTGAGGTAGTGGAGTTCATGCCAGAGTTGAATGATTCTTGACCGTGTGCTCGATTGAAGACGACGATCAAGAATGGCCCAGATCTCTGAGCAGTGTTCGGTAGCGAGTACATACGGCAAGATTGTAGGCGAGATGATGGAATACATGGCGGCAGCAAGATTTTGATCTTGTAAGAGCCAGTTTTCGTATAAGGGGTTGGGTGTGATGGAGCCGTCAGCGGCCGTCGTTGGTGGCGGAGGAGGGGAAGTCCCATCCAAGAAGCCTTGGTAGACGTTATCCTTGAAGGTTTTGAGTACCTGTGAGCGCCATAGTGGGTGATTTTCGGTGCTGAGAGGTTGGGCGACGACGCTTTTGAGATGGCTCATAAGAAATTTTAGAGACGTCGGAATTGATGGTGGATTGGAGGGTGGGGTTTCTTCCGTGGAAGAGAGACTGGAGGAGGCGTTGGAGGTGGCGGCCATGATTCTTGTTTGACGAAGGAAAGCAAAGAAAGAAAGCAGAGGAAAGGATTGCCTGCTCTGATACCATGTAAGGTTCGAGAGCCAGATAGAAACAGGTGGAAAGGAAATATGATAGATTGTATTTTCACATTGTCTAATAGATACAGTGAGGTATTAATAAAAAGCTGAAGACAATAAATAAAACTAACTACAAGAAAGTACAATGACCATTGACCTTTATACATCAGGACCAGCCGGTATAAGCCTATGCTAACACCAATAACCCGACCCGAAACGGACCCAAGATTGCTCGGTATTGCTCGGTATTTCTAGGTATTGGTCTATTTTGCTCGGCAATAATCAATACCGAGCAATACCTAGCAATACCGAGCAAATACCTAGCAATACCGAGCAAATACCGAGTTGTATCGAGCAATACCTAGCAATACCGAGCAAATACCTAGCAATACCGAGCAAATCCCTAGCAATGCCGAGCAAATCCTAAGCAAATACTGAGTTGTACCGAGTTGTAAAAAAACTCGATACAACTCGGTATTTGCATGTATTGGTCTTCACATAGCGGT